TGGTATGATAATACTTCATATAAAATATATTTGTATTAAATCTTTTGTATTATCATACGTATCTACACTTCGAATAAGCCATCCCAGAATACAAATAATTATTTCATAATTTACTAAATTTTATTATATATATATATATATATATATATATATATATATATACAAAAACTGGTGCAGACTGCAGTGTATTTTCTGATTTGTTTCCAATTCTACTAATGGACTTGAGTGCAAATCTCACTCTTGTGCACATATGAATACACATGCAAGCACACACGACCTGAGTTCATTCTCCCACACACATACAAACACATGCTAATTCGGGCATATTTTTTTAAAGGTCATGAAAAGGCCATAAGGATGTCAGAATATGTTGCAGTCTTTTTTTTTCTCTCTCAGCTTCTTTCTCTCTTTTCTAATTACTTTTGCCTTCTTTAGATAAAAGGAAATATGTTAGAGGTTGGGTCCTGCTGGTATTGCCTGTGTTATTGCCGCAAGTTATTATGAACCTCAGACACACACACACACACACACTCGTATTATCAACAGCTCAGCAGGAACAGGAGGCCGAGGTGGAGGAGGAGGACGTGAACAGGCCTGAATAAATTTGGGATGTTGTGAATGTTTCACATTTAATTTTACATTTACATAAGATGATGCTGAGAGAAACATTTGGCACCTCCACAGCTACTGGAGCCAAACCGAAACAGAATCACTGACAAAGTGCTGGAGTCTGAAAAGAGACTGAAATTCAGCAAGTGACAGATAAGGAAGTAAAAGAGAAGGATAAAATGTGCAAAGGAGGTAAAGTGTGTAGGAGAGTTAAATTGCATTGGCATTATAGCTGTTGGAGAGATGGTAGCAAACTAGTGTCAACTAAAGTGTTTGACTGAAACCAGATGGAGAAAGAAAAACTTTTCTGGAAACAAGTAAATAAAAAATATGTCACATTAGATCACTGTATAATAAAGCACACTTACTAAAATTAGTTCCCATTACAATTTATTTGTCCAATTTGTGAAAAAACTGTCAATTAAATGTCTAAACCTCTCTAACATTTTTAGTTTCACTACTACAAATGAAAAATGATTCATTCTGAAGTGTAAGTTTGTATATTTCTAGATGTGTGTAGCACCTTCAACTCTGCATATCAGAGGAGATGATTATCATTCAATAACATGTATTTTGCTTGGTTTCTCACACAAAATTATTTTATCTTTTCAGAAGACTTTAGATATAGCATGTGAATTCTATTATGATACATTTATGGTGTTTTGTTTTCATTTTGGAGCTTGACAAATCCAGTCCCTTTCATTTTCATTATAATGAAAAGAGCTGTGCTTCTTCAAATTTCACAGAACAATGAATGTCATACAGGTTTAGAAACAACACGAGGGAGTCGATAATGTCAGAATGTTCTTATTTTGGGTGAACTATCCCTTTATTGTAATGAGACACTGAATAACTGATTCACTCTCTGAAATCCTAGCCTCCTTACCAGGTTTCTTTTCTCAACACTCTTCAGCGCTGAAAGTGAACACACGATGGTGATTGGCTAATTTTATTTTACCAACGGAGGCACGAGAGCTCATCTCTCCCCTGGCCTCCCCCTACCCTTCTCTATCACCAAGCAGTTGTAATTACATCAGCAGATTCGGCACATTCGCAATAGAAAAGCGGCTTCTTTCACGTTATGGTATTACAACTGTGAGATTACAAACAAAAAATACACATCCTGAGACATGAACTGAAATTAATTGTGAATTTTATTAACATTAAATCGTCCTTCTCCCATTTTCACCTCAAAATTATGGGGAAGCTGTGCCTCCCCTGCCTCCCCCAACGAGCCGCCACTGCTGAAATCTCTCTCTTTTTGTGAGTGTGTGTGTGTGTACATCTCGGTCTGCACTGTTCTGAAGTGTTCTGTTTAGAGTCCTAAGGCAATTGGACTGTGAAGATTGCATCAGCCCTCAGACGTGATATAATTCATAAAAATCTATTAAACGAGCATGAAATAGGAGAGGTTGAGCTGTAGATGCAGTGAATTTTGTCTCTGGCTGCATTCACACGGCAGCACAATAACCACATAGCATAACTGAACTCAAACCTGTGGCCTAATGTGTGAACGGAATCATTCTGAACAACTGTCTGTCACGTTTTAGTGTAAGAGACGCTCTGACGCTCCAGGTTTTAATGTTTGGTTTCAGTAACTTACAGAGCTGTGTCATCTGAAGGCTTAGATTCACATGTTTTCAACTGTTAATTATAATTTGGAACTTTTGTTGTGTCAGATGTGGTAAGACTGCCATTTTGGACATACAGTGGTGGCCAATATTATTAGAACACTACTATTTTAAAATTAAATTAAATATTACATTTATGCATTTAGCAGACGCTTTTATCCAAAGCGACTTACAGTGCATTCAGGTTATAAATTTTGGTAACACTTTATTTCGATAGTCCACTTTAGACATTCTATTAACAGTAAGTAACTTTGCAACTACATGTCAACTAGCAGTTAGTAGAGTATTAGTAGACTGTCTGCTTAATATCTTCTAACACTTTCTTTGTCAACTTATTCTACTAACCCTAAACCTACCCTAACGGTCTACTCTGAGAGTTAGTAGACATGTATATGCAAATTAATGAGAAATAGTTGACATGTAGTTACAAAGTTACTTAAAGTTATTAGAATGTCTAAAGTGGACTATCGAAATAAAGTGTAACCTACATTTTTTATCAGTATGTGTATTCCCTGGGAATTGAACCCACGACTTTTGCGCTGCTAACGCAATGTTCTACCACTGAGCCACAGGAACATTTTCACCAGTTTAATATGGTTTTAAGTCAGTTATCTTTTGCTGTAGTGTGTCAGTAGGCAATATCAGTTTACATTTGGTTAGCTGGTGAAAATACTACTATTTTAATAATTTTGGCCACCACTGTAGTCATTTTTCATATTTACTTCAATTACTGTTGCTATGGTTGCTATGGTTACAGGTGATCGAATACGGGCTTGACTTCAGTTGCATATCTGAATATGTGAATCTAATCCCAGACACTGTTAGTGTAAACATACCCTATAATCAGAAGTCCAAAGAGACCCCAAAATTGTCATTATTCATTCACCCTCATGTTGTTCCAAACATGTACGACTTTTTGGCCATGTACACACTCAACAGAGCCACCATGTTTTGTTTATTTTTGGAAGACTACTTTGCAGAGCACTTGAAGGGTTGCCATGTCCACTTATTATAAGCGATGCTTGTTAAGCATCTCTGGGCTTTGTGTTAGGACTTGGTGATCCAGTTTATGGAGTTAATAAAGTGGAAAGGGGCAGGTCACTGTATTTTCATATGTTGCTTATTTCCAAGATAATACATACAGTAAAGTAAAACAAAAATATTTGAGCCAGAGCTTTAGTGCTCTGTGGCCTGCTATAGTGGTCTAGAGAGACTGGTTTAAATTCTATACTGTGGCTCTAAATCCTCAATATCCTCTTTAAATTAACTTCCTACTCCCCTGTGTATAGGAAGAGTATCTATCTGTGAGGACGATATAATGAACAGTGGAGAGATAGCGGGGTTCATCATGCAGTGCGCGGTGAGGTTCCGGCTCCCTGCACTCAGTGACAGCAGATAAACAGCCACTGCTTGGTTCCAGCATCTCCACGGGCCCCGTTGGCATGGAGACGAACCATGCAGTGCTTTTTCTGCTGACACAGTGCTATGGTACTCGAAAAACAGAGAAGATAAGAGGGATGAAAGAGAGAAATGAAGATCATTGCCAAACAAAGAACCCAGACTGCTCTTCAAAGAAAAAAAATTGACAAAAAGAGGATTTTTCCATAGGAGTTGAAAGGAGGTGTAAATGTGTGCTGAAAAAAGATTCCAGAGTGAGGTGTTGGAACTCCATCCTAATATTGGCGTATCTTACTGTTTGGCGCTATGTTATACAGCTTGAAATATCAAAAGAGAAACAACAGACAAATAAGCAAACACTATCAATGTGAGTACAGGTAAATTTGGACACTATCCAAAATGTTGGACTGTTTTAAAAATGTACAGAGAAATTTACAGTTTTTAGAAATAATACCATTTTAAATAGCTAAATTTCTCCTCTACACTATACAAAGGAAAAATGAAGGAATATTAAAAACAAAGACTTTGCATTGAATATATTAAAAATGAAATATTTTAATGAAATGTCTTATTAAAACAACAAAAACATTATTAAAACAAATACTTTATTTTAAATATAATATAGAATAGAATAGAAAAACATGTATTAAATATAAGGATATTAAAATGTTTTCTATAGTTAATGTAATGTAAAAAAAAACACTTATGAATATAATATTTGTATAAGATACCTTATAATAAATATATATAATAAAATAATATTAACATAAAAACTTTATATTAAATACATACTATAACAAAAATATTAAATATTAAATAAAAATTCTAAATACTAATAAATATAAGCATTATATTGAACATATTATTACAGTATTTTTTATAATATATATATATATATATATATATATATATATATTGAAAATGATTTTAAAATAAAATCTTTATATTAAATATCATACTAAAAATAAAAACTGTATTAAGAAATATTGAAAACATACTTTATCATAAATAGAATATTAAAAACTTATACTGAATATATCATCAACACAATTTTTATAGTAAATAGGAAAAACTAAAATGTTATTAAATATAATATTAATAACAAATACTTTGTGAAAATATATCACTTAATATTGAATATAACACTTCAGTAAAATATATTAAATTAAATATATTGAAAAAATTATACATTTATGATATGTAATATTTAAAAATGTTTGAAATATGTTGAATACAACATTAAAACTATTTTTGAAAAAAGAAAAAAAAAACTTCATAATTTGTCCCATTTTACCTGTACTCACCATTTTAAACAAGCTTGTTTCCTTTTTTTTGAGTTTGATGTTAATGCAGGTGTCTTACCTTTGCTGAGGGTTCCCGAGACAAGCCTCTGAAGGGACTGAATGAGCTTTAGTACCCCCTGTCTGCAGCGGCAGGTACAGCCAGCCATGATGAGAGAGAATCCAAGGGTGCACAGACAGCCCCTACAACAGCCTAAACACTGCTTTCACCAGCGGTGCTCACAGACGAGACGTACGTCCCATACGAGCCTCTCCGTGGCCTCCAGAGTGCTTCTCACGTCGCCTCTCGCTCGTCCAGTCCCACAAGAGCTGTGCTTTTAACAATGGGTTCCAAGTCCAAGAATGAGAGCAGGATGCCCAGACAACACACACACACCTTTCACCCACTGTCCTCACACACACACACTCACACACGCACAAACACACACAAGATGCTCACAAAGTGCCTGAACCTGTTTTCCTCTGCCTCTGTGCCAACCGTTTGAAGTATAAAAGGAGAGTTGCTGAAACAGCCGACTGCTGCTGCGAAAGTTAGAGGGGGAAAAGTTGGTGAGCGCTGCAGGCTCAAAGCTCAGAGACCGACCTGATGAATTATTAAGTGGATGGCAAGAGCTCGCTGCTGCGCTACAAGGTCTAAGAACTGCTCGGAGGACGTTGAGTGTCCATGGAGACAAAAGAGTGGCTTTCCTTTTCCTTGACGATGCTTCTCCTGGTTACGCCTCTGCCTCTCTCTTCCTCTAGTTGTATGTGTGTGAGTGCGTGTGTGAGTGTATGTTGCGGTGTTGTGGCTAGATGTCTGTGGTCCGCTGCATCGTTTCAGACTGCTCTGTGCTGCTGGACAGATCCCTGCAGCATAAAACAGAAGACTACTGCTCTCTCTCTCTCTCTATCTCTCTGTCTCTCACTCTCTCTCTCTCTCTCTCTCACACTCAGGATGCATCTCTTCCACAACTTTTACACTTGCCTTGTAGTAGCTGAGCTAAAATATATTATAATCTATTCTGTTGTACTCTGTTCTGTTTTGCTCTGCTCTATTTTTCTCAAGTATTTGCATCAGATTCTCTTCTATGAACGTTTCTATTTATTGTATAACCCTCTGTTATAATCTACTCCATTATGTTAACAAATATATTCTATTAAAATCTGTTCTTCTGATATATTATACCACAACATATTCTATTCTATTCTATTCTATTCTATTCTATTCTATTCTTCGGTTACATTCTGCTAGATTCAATTCTATCATGTACCATTCTAGTAAACTTAAATATTACGTTCTATTAACTATCTATTAACTCTATACTTCTGCTCTATATAGTTCTATTCTATTCTTTAGTTCCTTTTATATGTCATACTATTATGTTAAAGGTTATATTCCATTAAACTGCTCTATTTTGCTAGATGCTATTTTATTAAGGTTTCTATTCTGTTCTGTTCTAATCTATTACCACATCATATTCTATTCTATTCTTGTATTCTGCTACTTTGCATTATATTTTACTCTCCTTTGTTAGATTATATTATGTTAAAAACTCAATTCTATTCTGCTCTATTTATTTATTTATTTTATTAACATTTCTATTCTATTCTATAATCTGTTAAAGGTTGTATTCTGTTCAAACTGTTATTCTGCTCTATTCTGTTCTACAAAAAATTATATTCTGTTCTGTTCTATTCCATTCTATTCTATTCTGTTAAAGATTATATTCCATTAAAAACTTGATTCTTCTGCTATATATTCTAGATTCTATTCTATTCTAAGCTATTTTCTGTGAATATGCAAGACTCAGCACTTTGTCAACTAGAAGAATGGCAAAGTGCAGAAAAAGTAAAACTGTTTGTAAAAACTACTTTGTTAGATTATACTGTATTCTATTAAAAACTTCATTCTGTTATGCTCTATTTTTAGATTATATTAACATTTCTATTTAATTATATTCTACAGTATTCTGTTAATGGTTGTATTCTATTATAACTCTGTTCTTCTGTTCTATTCTGTCCTACTTAAGTTTCTATTCTATTGCTACTCTATTCTGTTAAAGATTACATTCCATTAAAAATTTTATTCTTCTGCTATCATTTCTATTTAATTATATTCTACAGTATTCTGTTAATGGTTGTATTCTATTATAACTCTGTTCTTCTGTTCTATTCTGTCCTACTTAAGTTTCTATTCTATTGCTACTCTATTCTGTTAAAGATTACATTCCATTAAAAATTTTATTCTTCTTTCTATTCTATTCTATTCTATTCTATTCTATTCTATTCTAAGCTATTTTCTGTAAATATGCAAGACTTACGATTATTCAGCACTTTCTCAACCAGAAGAATGACAGTGCAGAAAAAAGTAAAACTGTTTGTGCTACATACCACTGTGCTTATGATTATTGTAATAAATTAAATAGTATGAAAAAAAAAGTTTGGAGTATCAAGCAGCATAACAGATGGTTTCTATTTTTATAATATTTTTGACCTAAATAGGCCTATTTTAATGTAAAATTTAGAAACTTGTAATAGTGGTCAAAGACTCCCTCACAAAAATATTAATGTGACAAATGTAATGAAACATATAGATTCTTAATGTGAAAATATCGATACTGTATTGTTGGGTACAATATTGCTTGTTTGAAATATCATTGTTCCCACCCCTACATTCCCACGCACAACCCATTCCAACTTCTCGCATTCATTTATCATTCTTGCCCTGGCTGAGGGGAACCCAAAATAGGCAGACAGAAGAAGAGGAGAGAAAGAGGGAAGAGGTAATGAGAAGTGACAGCTGTGATAGATGGCAGGATGATGCTGGAGGAATGAGACGGAAAAGTGATGTGCCAAGATACCTAAGTCTGCAGTCAAAGAAAGAGTTCTCAATATCAACTTTTCTTAAGCCCAAACAAACTGTGCATTGACATCCACATAATTTATATCTTTATACTTTGTCAACAACTATATAATTTTTTTCTTAAGGAATTTTAAAAGGCACATCTGGTTATACCACAATGAAATACCTGAGAGCTTTGTGGAAACAACAACCTAAGAGAGATAAAATGTACCTTCAGGCATGAAGCGAAATTTTTTTAATGTCATTTTAAATATAGCAGAAACGTGATAATTGAATATATGTTTCTTTGTTTGAATTTATATAACTTGAATAGGTTATGTTTAGCATGTTCCCAGAGTAGATGCTTCTTATTCTATTAGACATGCTCAGAAAAGCCCTTTTATGTCCTGCGTTGCATATTGAAATATTTTTGGACTGTGTGGGTGGAAGTGCAAAGTGGATAGAAAGCAAGCAAGACAGAGTGAGAGTTTGGTTTTTATTGATTAGGAGATGTATATAACCGAAGTAATAGAATTTCAACAATGTTCAGTGTCTAGATTTCCTTTTATATTTCAGTTCTGCTTCTGCAAGATTCTGAATCTTTTATAAGCATAGATGAAAATAAAACCATTTATTCTTGTGCCTAAAACAATAAAAAAATGGTTTCTCACATAATTGTGCAGAAATATGCGCACATGCTGTGCAGTAAAATTCAGCGCTCACAATATGCGACAGACATCTGTAAAGCACTTCAGGTTGCTTGTGTTTGTGCAGCTTATGTTATAAGAGAGCAGGAGGATTCACCCAAAGCAGGAAAATCAGCTCAGGACAGCTGCAGTGAGGTTCAGTCCTACAAAGATGTGTTTCAGTTCTGCAGGTCTGACATCCCCAATTCTGTATGTCGATCACTTTGCAAGCTGCTGGATGCATTTGTTTGGGGTGCATTTAGTAGAACTGCATTTGAAGAGTCACAAATGATATATGCAGAAAAAAGCATATTGCGTATATGTAAATGTATATGTGTTCTTGCATAAGTGTTTAATGCATGCTTATTTTATGCATATTGTGTTCTTTCTTCTTTATTTGAATACATATTGAATAGTCATACTGATATCTCGACCAGGACAATTAATCAGAATTTAATAAAATTGCATATTAGAATAATATAGAGGAAAACAATATATAATGAAAAAATCCATCAGTTTAAAAAATAAAATAAATAAAAATAAATAATATTATTTTATATTTATTGTTTGGTATAAACTGCTTAGTGGCATGTGTTTGCATTAAATAATAATAGTAAAATTATATATGTAGATAGAGAGAGATAGATACTTAATTTTATATTTAGTTTTGAACTGCTCAATCTCATATGTTTGCATGAAATAATAAATAAAATAAATAAGAATCATAAAATATTAATTAACATATTTGAAATAAAATTATACATAACGCTCAGACTGTATATATAAAAGATTATGCATATTTATATACAGTAGAAACTGGCTCAGAAAAGGAACAAAACATGCTTCAGTTCACGCTCTGTTCCAAACAGAGTTCCTTCAAGGACTGATAGTTTGCATACAGCTAACGATCCTCCAGTGTGCCGTTAAAAATCCCATCCCATCCCATCCCATCCCATCCCAATCTATCCCACAAAGTCTGAGCACCTCCCACAAAATATTTTTTGTAACACACCGACTCACAGCAGAGACTCTGTTGCCATTATATCACACTGTCTAAGCACACCCATCTCAGGCTATTTTTACTGCTAACCATTTAATGAAGCTGCCACGGCTCACACTTACACAAACACACAGTCATACACGCACACACGCTTAGGGCTAGGAACTGCACTCGACACTGTTGAATTAACCTTCAGACTTTTCTATAGCTCCTCTGCACCTGTTCAATCCCAATCTTCTAGACTGCTTGCTTTTTTGAAACTCTAATTAAAAAACTAAATCTATCTGAATAAAACTCTTTAAAATACTTAGCAAGGTCACGCAAAAATCTACAAAAGTCATGATTTTTATTGACACAGGCTACCTGCCAAACATGTATCAACTGTGTGTGTGAACTGCAGTGAATTTGCTGTGCTCCAATTTAGATACAAGCAGTAGATACAGCAAAACCCATGAGATTACAGATACAAAAGTAAACTCGTCTATTTTTAATTATTATTTATTTTTAATATGTTTATTTTCAGAAACAAAAACAGAAAATGAAGCATCACTCTAGTTCAAGAGTTTACACACATTTTTAATGGTCATTAGCAGTGCTGCTTTTGGTAACTGGACTTTGCAGCTTCCCAGAATACCCTAGCAACTGGCAGTTTGTCTTTCTGTCTATTTGTCTGGGTGACTGTAAATCCTTCAAACCTCAAACTTTTAAAATTATTTTAAAAACTGTCTGACAAGGCTTTGTCAAGTCAACAAAAATGTCAAATAGATTTTTAGTTTTAAGCACCAATATATTGTACAAGATAATATATTGAGTAAGTTGAGTAAGTTGTTGTATCTTGTTTTAAAAAAATTCTAAATAAAATCTTTGATATTTTTTCTGGAAAAAAAAAATAAAAAATCTGACTACAAAAGTACTTTTTGCAGCGTTAACATACCAATGGCTTCTAATTTACTTCAGTTAGTTTATGGGAGAGTGAACAAGAGAGAAAGTTAATGATCTAAAGAGAGTTAATATGATAAAATGAGGTAGTGGTATGACATAAATGTAGTGTAATTTATGAAGAGAGATGATAATACATTAGGATATAATGATATACAGCAAGACTAATTTGCACTCACAAGCCAAAATTATAAAGCTCTATGACACCTAATGGATTGCAGCCCACCACCCCTCCACTATCCTGCTACACCTGAAAATGCAGTCACTGAAGTAAGATACCACAGCCTCTATTTAGCGCAGTGTTATATGCGATAATGGACAGAGCATGTGTGATTTAAGTGCGTTTGATAGGTGACACATAGCAGGTGCCAGACAGCTGTGGCACTACATCTCAG